TAATTATATTAAATTTCAAACTACTACTTTCCTTTCTAACAAGCTCAAACAACTGCTTCCTGATTTTTACCAACCTACATTAATTAATTCACTACAAGAATGTACTGAAACATCAACCAAAGCTGCCCTATATTATTTATATACCTGTACAAATCTTACCTGCAATATTTTTTCTAATGATATTAAACATACTTTTTATAATCTTACTTCTTTCTTTTTTAAACAATCTTTTTTACAATTTCTATCTATCACAAAACCAACTCTAAACTTTTCTATTTTTGAACCAAATCAATCCTTACCTGCTACTCTTTTTAAACCTTTTCTCTTTAAATTTCTTAAAGAATTAGCCTATAAAGCAGAAGAACAATTTATACAACTTAATAATACTACACCTAATTCTAAATATGAAGGCTCTTTTTTTTATACTTTTCTTTAAAAATTTCTTAACCATGCTGTTTTAAATGACAATATAATTAATTTTAATCTCAAAAATACATTACAACACATTTTTTCTATCTCTACAAACCTCTATTACTTTGCTAATATTATCACTTGCTTTAATATTATACAATTTTCTGCTCATCTAATTTCTTCTATTTTTTCTCAATATTATCAATCTTATCTTCCTCAAGCTATACAATATATTTCTAAAAAACTTCAAATCCCAACAATTAATACTGATCTTTTTTTTTCAAATTTTCTAATACCTGAAATTTCAGATTCACTCTTTCTTTCTTCTTAAATTCTTCTTTTTTTTTTTAAATATTTCAATTTTATTTTAACAAAATCTTTTAAACCTTATTTTAACTTTTATTATAATCAAATTTAAATTCTTTTATTCAAAATAGTAATTTTAAACAAAACAAAAATACAACTTTTTTGCTATTCTTTTTCTTACTTTTACTTTCTAATCTTTGCTATATTCTATTAGAATTAAACCTACTTTATTCATTTCTTCTACTATTACTACCTTCTTCACTATTTCTATTCGTATTTCTATACATTATATTTACTATTTCTAATTTATTTACCAACTATGCTCTGCTTTTATACCAATATTTTAGTTCTGGATCCTTCTTAATATCCTTACTTGCTAGTCTTGCTTTTCTTTCTTGAACACGATTATCTAGCATTTTTAACCTTCTTGTTAAAAATCTACTTTTATAGTGGGCACTACAAATTTATATATATATATATTTTTTTTTTATTTTAGTTATCTTTACTTTATTTTTATTTCTCTATTATTAATATTACTATAACATACTTCTCTTCCTTTGATCCTTCTTTGATTGTATCATCAGAAATCTTAATTATTTCTTTGTTTTTAACTTCAACTACTTCTTTTTTTATAGACTGATTTTCTAAAACTTCTAATACTTCTTTATTTTTTTTTTTTGGTAATAAGCTTCTCTTATAACTATACTTCGCAAGACTCTTCAAATAATTATGCTTAGTTATTATTCTAAGCTTCAACAATTGAATCTACAAAACACAATTAAAATATCTTCAATATATGTAGTATAACATTTAATCAGATTATCAAACACACATAGACAAATTCAACAAATTAATTAAACAATCTATAATTAAACAAACAAATCTTCAAAAAACATGCAAAAATGATTTTCATTATATATATTTGGTTGTAGTATAATAGATAGGATGTTCATAGCCATTGTTGGGCTGTGAGTTCAAGTTCATTAATAGTATGTCAAACCCGGTGTACCATGATAATATTACTAACCATATGGGTGGATTTGCGGAATTGTTTATTTTTTTGACGCACACCAAATTTACATTACGTAGATTACAGGTAGGTCAGTCAATTGACGTATTTGAAATCTAATCAAATTCAACACATTACATAGATCACAGGTAGATCAGTCAATTGACGTATTTGAAATCTAATCAAATTCGACATGTGATATATAGTCGATTTAATATACAAGCCAAGACTTATATGCGGGTTATCTAATACGTCGAACTCTACTTTAGTTAGAGAAATATACAATTACTTGGTTCTTATTTGAGCTGTTCTGGTTTAATATTTCTTTTTTTATAATATACGAATTTTTTAAATTGAGTTACTAAAAAAAAGCAAAAGTCTTAGGCTAAGAAAAAAAAAAAGAAGAGGAAGAAAACAAGGTTTTTTTATTTGTAGTAAGTTAAACTTTATTAAAATACATAACTTCGAAAAAATAGTATAGAAGTAATAAGAACTAGTGAATAATTTAGTTATTATCCGCAAAATTGAAATAATAAAAAAAAGAATGCATTTAGGTTGCGTTTGAAAACTTAAACCCTACCGAACAGAATAATCCCTGGAATCTGCTATAACGAAGTATGAACACACCAAAGATAGAAAAGGTACTTAAGTGGTGTCTGAAATCTGCTAAAAGTGACAATGCTACTAGGCAAGACAATAAGCACAACCAAGGTATTCAAAATATTTGAAATCTGCTAAAGGTGATAATTCTCACTATTGGTGTAATCCTGGAATATACTACAGAAATCACATAGGTGCAGCAAAAAATAAAAATGCCATTCTGGTGGTATTTAAAATTTGCTAAAGGTGTGAGCTGCTACAAAAATGAGTTATGTTATTTGGCCGGTAATGGGGCATTACGAATCGACAAATAATTTATGAATGCTATGAATTCTATGGATTACATTTAATAAATGAAATTGGAAAGGCAACCATCAGTATTTTAAGTAAACTTGTTGACTTTCTTATGCAAAACAGTCTGCATTTTTATTAGTGCTGAAAATTAGCATTATTTGATTGGCAGATATAATGGACGTAGTAGTATGTTCTAATATATGTCCAATGTATAAAAAAATATTTTATTAGAAAAAAAAAGGTGTAACTGTGTCACCAACTTAAAGTATGTAATATGAATTATTGTCTTTAGACAGATAAATAGACATTATGTTATTAGTTCTTATTCTCTTTAACTCTAATATCTGTTTCCACAACAATAATTAACTATATTCATTCCAAGGGTATAACTCATTAGATTTTTGAAAATGATAAATGCTTTACTTACATCCTTTTCGACTCCAAATTTGTACAGGTGCTGACATGAATGAAAGATATAAGAATGCTTTATATATGTTTTTTTTGACTCTAATTTTATCATCAGTCTTAGCAGCTATATAAAATAAGTAAATAAAAAGCTCAAACACTAATATGACGAAATTAAATCAATTACAAATCATACCTTTCAGAGTATATAACATTGAACTAATATTATACGCCTCTTTTCCATACTCAATGCCACTACTTGTAATATTTTGTTTTTTTTTAATATGCACTTTCAGATTTAGATGAAAATACCGGGTCAAAAGAGAACTATTGTACTGAATTTCTTTCCATTCCCACTATTAAATAAAAAAAAATAAATGAGTTGTCACAAATCGAACATGTGTACTGGTTTAATATGCTTTGTCAATAACAATACCTTAACCGGTAGATCTTTTGTATCTGTTCTTGTAAAGTAGCATATGAATAAATTAGCTCCCATAAATATAAAAAAATTAATATACATTTTTATAAATAAAAAATCCTTTCAATATGCAAAATTTTTGCTAGGAAAAATCAAAATCTGAGCTGTACAAATCATATGATTCAAACCTTGATTTTCTCATACATTCATG